GCTCTGGGCTACACAGGAACATGGAGTCAACCGACTGGCGAGGGACATCCCCACAAATTTACAAACAAACTGTTCACCTGCACTTGGTATGCCACGAAAAAATCCCTTCTAATACAGGGCAAGAAAACTAGTGAGCTAAAAGATAAGTTGAGACAAGTACTGGTTGATCCTGTTCCTTTGATAGCTGCTAAAGACGAAAGCGAAACTGAAAGAACTGAAAGCAATACCCTTGAAGTTGATGGCAGTGAGGTCAATGAAGTCTACAAAAGTACCAAATTTTGTGATGAATGCGTAGCTTCTGGAGTCCACCAAGGTAACGAGTTTAATGAGGATGAAATTCATGACGGGGTAAATCCAGGAAAGATTATTGCAAATTTGCTACAGTTTAGAATGAAGAAATGGAACATAGAAGGAGCTAAGGTTACCATAGCAACCCCTTTTCTGGACAAGTCTGGCTTGGTCTTTATTTTGTCATCTCTGGATAATGAAACAGCTCTGGACAAGGTATATACCAGAGAAGTGTGTGCATGGAATAACAAGAAGATCGACCCAGTCATCACTGAAAGTGAATTATCAAAAAAATTGGATTGTAAATAAGGTTGTTGCTTTGAAAAAGGTGCCTTCCTTCCATGCTAAGTTTCTGGCAGGAGAGTACAAAGACAAGGTGGAATTGATAGTGACAAGTTGTAATATGACTTCAGAACATTTGTTCTCTGACCAGCTGGAGACAGTGATCCAAATCGAGTGCACCGTGGAAACTTTTCATAGTGATTGGCTTAAACCTCTGGAGTTAATGGCAGAGGAAGAAGGAAGTATGGCAAAGTTTCTTAATATGGATGACATTATGCAGGAAGTTCAGAATATTGAGTAAGTGTGTGGACAGTATCAGATTAATATTGCCCTGATATATGTACTTGTTTCAGTTTGTGGGTGGCCCTGACAACCTTTTATTATGGTTATGCCAACAGGGATTATACACAGCAAATAGTCATTACTTCTCTACTTTGGTCACATTCTGACCAAACCAATAAAATTCATACCCCTTTAATTAAGCCTAATCATGTAGTTGCATAAAGGGCAGATATCACTATCCCCTAGACAAATAGTCACTTTCTGTTGAATAAAAAGTTACAAAAATAAAAACAGTTTAACTAGATTACTTTCTGTCAGTCTTGTCTTCAAATCAAATCAAATCTGGTTCAGTTTTATCCACCCATTCTGTAACCAGGGCCTGATATTTTAAAATCTGTATGTTATTTCCTACCCTATGCAGTATTTGATCATATTATACAAAGATATTAGTTTCGTGATTTCTAGTAATCTTTTCTTTGTTAATTCTCTTTCTCTCTTTGTATTAATTTGAAAATAAATATCTTATATTAATGTGAGAGTCTTGTAACTTGCTATTTCCTTTTTCAGGCCAAATAGGTAAAATCAAATAGGTCAAAAGTGATAAGTTCTTTTGGGCAGCACAAACCTTTATACATGAAGCTTATTGAGTCATTTTCATTTGAGTGTGAAAAGCAGTTCGCATTTGATTTGGTTTGCACAATTGCATTATTACTGTATGACCTGCACTACTTTGATCTGTGGCTCAAAAAACTTACTGACCCATGCTCATAAAACTTGCACCCCTTTTTCATCCAATCAGAAGTAGAATCAGTGGAAAATCGAGTAGAAATCAAGTAAAATTGTGACTCACTCAGACAAGGTTTCCTGCACTTCGCTTCAGCCACATGTATTTACTTCGAGTTGTGATTGGTTCACTGGATCATCTGTGTCCCAGTTGTGATTGTCCAAAGTGATTACTTTGGTTTTGGTTTTACGACACTCCACTGAAACCCACTCTATTTTAATGTTGGGAAATACCCCCAGGGATTAACCTGCAATCATACCCTACCTACCCATACCCAGGAATTGAATTTCAGGAACTGACAGTGAACACCAGAAGTGGCACGGCATAACGACACAGCATGTCTGCTGGTCCCATTGATAAGCATCATTTCAGGGTTGTTGCGTTACAACATAGTAGGAGAATTACGAACACAATGTGCAGGTCAAATGTCAGGTTAAAGACAATGCATATTTACTGTGTCAACAACTCAAGCTTTTTTGATAGCAAGGTTTCACAGTAATGGTGATTCTCTTTTGCAGGAAATAGACCATTTCATCAGGACAAATATAAATGTCTACATGTAAGGGGTAAACTCAAACACTTTTTTATTGGATAGCAAGGTTTCATAGTTATGGTGATTCCCTTTTTAATTTTTGCAGGAAATAGACCATTTCATCAAGACAAATATCAATGTCTACATGTAAAAGGTAAATTCAATCACTTTGCTCAACAAAAAGTCAACCTTTTATACAGTTGAAATGCATCATAAGAGGAACGTGTGTCCTAAGACCTCTCAAGAATCTTGAATCTTTTTAGCATTCTAGAACCTTTTTGTGCATGCCATAGACTGGAAGGAACATGTGATCAGCCCAAACGGGGTCCTCATATCATTGTACCTTTCAATTACAACATAGAACGTCATATTAATTTTGTACTTAAGTAAAATATCCCATACTGGAAGTCATTTGTAATCATGGAGATATGCTATTCCTTGAGGGAATTTCCAAAATAATGTAGTTATAAAAAGCAGTGTATATGCCATAGTGTAAGTAATATTTTCCTTTTAGTTAGTGAACATACTTCTACTCACTCTTCATTCTCAAACGATGCAAATAAAATGGGTAACTTTAATGCCTGATTATGAGAAGTAAACAATAAGAATAATACTATTTTTATGTTCCTTCCTACTGTAACAACCTCTGCTTGAAGAACTAATAATGGTGTAACCAAAACCTTGCTACTGTCTCTATTTTTTACAGAGATTTCCACTAATTTTAAAGGTTCACAGTTCTCATTTACATTTT